TGTGTGTGTGTGTGTGTGTGTGTGTGTGTGTGTGTGTGTGTGTGTGTTCAGTCTCCAGATCCATAAATGCACTAGAATCCACTGATGGAGACTAAGAACTCTACTTTGAAATATATAGTAATTGTAATTGTGTCAGTGTATATAGATATGAGAAAGTATAGGCTACCACATTTTTAGGTAACTAGAATTATATGCCATGAGGTTGGAGGTATGAGGAAAAAATAATTCTTTTGTTGAATAGAGAAAAATGGTAAAACAAAACATATCTTGACACAAACACAGAGGGAGCACAGATCCTTCTCCTGTGTGTCTATCAAACATAATTCAGTACCACTGAAAGTTTTGTTCTTTCAATATGAAAGCTATTGGCTACTGATGAACTAATTAATGCTCCATATGCATGTGCCAGGACAGAGAATATGTTGCATTGCAATTTGAGGGAAGAATTCAAACACATTTGAGTATTTCTTTTAGAAGATGGTCCTTACATAGACTTTACTGTTGTAACTACACTGGTGCTCTTTAGCACTCTAAATAGTGTAAACACTTGGGGAGTCCTTTTAAACATAATGAGAATATATGTAGTACAGCGTTTTCTATCTTGTAGAAAAGTACTATAAATCCAGGATAAAAGTAGGCCCCTGGGAAAGTCATGAACTCAAGCTATCTTAGCCACAAACTTTTTAGAAATAGTAGGCAACGACTCAATTGTTATTCTTGCAACGTATTCCTGAAGGCTTATTTCATTGTAAGATTTCAAGAAATTGAAAATTTTATGTTAAAGGTCTTATACAAAGAAAATTTTTACAATGTGATCACTCCTGATTTATCAATTTTATACATCTAAATTTCCAATATTAAGTAGGTTTATACTTTTTTATTTGTTTTACCTTTTATTGAAAATACATCCTTTTCTCATATAATATACCTTGTAAACAGATGTTTTCCTATCTAGAATGCCTGGACCCAAATAAACACACAGAGGCTTATGTATGAATATAAATACTTGACCAATAGCTCAGGCTTATTATCAGCTAGTTCTTACATTTAAATTTACCCATTTCTATTCATCTACATTCGGCCACATGGCTTGTGGCTTGTTACATCATTTTCTACACATTCTGCTTGCTCAGAGGCTGGTTGTTGTCAACCATGACTGCTCTGACTCCACCCATCTTCTATCCCAGCATTCTCCCTGTGTCCAGCTATCTTGCTCAATCTCTTTCTGCCCTGATATCAGCTTTACTATTAACAATGAGAATAATACCACAGCAATATCATGATTACAATTTCCCCTACCTCTACTCCTCCCAGTTCTTCCCCATATCCACTCCCAACACGATCCTGTAGATGTAATTCTGAATGGTTTTATTAAATAAGAAACACAGAGTTAAATGCAGGGTTAAAAGCCCAAGAGGTCAGAGAAGCAGCTAAGAGCTAAGACCAAGACTGCCTTCTTACACCTCGCTGTCACTGTTGTCCTTGCCCTCAGAAAAAGATCTACTTCCTGTGTGTCTGTCTTTTTATTGACTTTCTGTTCTGCCTTTTCATTGGTTGTAAACCCAACCACATGACCTCCTCATCACTGCCTCTCTATACAGACCTCCAGGTCTCTATGGTTGGTACTGAGATTAAAGGCATGTGTCTCCATTCTGACTGTATCCTTGAACACACAGAGATCTGCCTGCCATGTGATCAGGATTAAGGGCATGTGCTACCTCTGCCAGACTTCTGCTAAATGGCTTGCTAGTAGCTCTGACCCCCAGGAACTTTCATTTATTAACATACAAATATAATCACATTTCAGCACAAATAAAATATCACCATATGATCCACTCCCTTTCTGTCTCTCATTAGAAAAGAACAGGCTTCTAAGAGCTAATAAAACATGACAAAGTAAAATGTAATAAGACCTGGTAAAGACCTGTGCAGATCCTGTGCTTGCTTCTTCAGTTTCTGTGAATTGATATGAACTTTGTTCATGCTGATTTAGAGAGCCTTGTTTTTTTGGTGTCTTCCATCCCTTCTGGCTCTTAGACTCTTTCTACCTCCTCTTCCAAAAGGTTCCCTGAGCTCTGGGTGCAGGGGGGTGGGATTTGAGGCAGATAACTCATTTAGAGCTGTGTATTCCAAGATATATCTCTCTTTCCCCCTCTCTTCTCTCCATATTATCTGTATGTAGGTGCCTGTATTTGTTGCCATCAGATGCAGGAAGAAGCTTCTCTGATGATGGCTGATGGCTGAATAAGGCACTAATCTATGATTATAGCAGAATATCATTTATCACTACTGCTTTTTAAGATCAGTAGTATTTGGTTTTACTTTATATCTGTGGGCTATCTAGTCTCTGGTTCTTGGTCACCTAAGCAGTTTGGGGTATGGATTCCATCTCATGGAGTGGGTCTTAAGTCAAAGCAGATGTTGGTTGGTTACCCCTACAAGCTTTGTGCCACCATTGCCCTAGCATATCTTTCAGGGATAATGGCAATGTAGACCAAAGGGCTTGTGACTAAGTTAGTGTTTACATTTCTCTTTTGGCAGCCTACATGGTACCTTCCTGTACCAAAGACACTAGGATGTAGGGGTGAAGGTTCTATATAAAAACCAGCTCTCCCTGCATGTTCAATGACTTGTGTAGGTATTGTCTTCAGCAATAGAGCCATGCTGTCAGTTTGTGGAGAGCAACCTATTATCTTGGCAACAGTGTGGGTTTGTTTGGGATTTCCATGGGACCTCTTTGGTTGACAACTCAATTGGATGTAGCACAGACCTGGTACTAGAAGCTTCGTTAGGTGACAAGATGGCCCAACTGGGACTCTATCTCCCCCATTATTTGTACAGTTTCTTAGGATTACCTTCCTAATTTCAGTAGGCTTCTGCTGCACTAGATTTCCATACACCCCTCAAATGCCCCTTAATTATAGCTGTCTCCCTACATTATCTCCCTGATGTGGGATAACCTTTTTGTACACTGTGAAGATGTGTCTTTGCCAGCACATTCTGGATTGGTTTAATAAAGAACTGAATGACCAATAGCTAGGCAGAAAAGAATAGGTGGGACTTCCAGGGAGAGAAATGGACTCGGATAAATCTGGGACACAGGAGATGCCAGAGAGGCATGGAAAGAGGCAGACATACATTATGGAGGAAAAGTAACAAGCCACATGGCAGAAGATAGATTAATAAAAACAGGTTAATTTAAATTATAAGAGCTAGCTGGGAACAAGCCTAAGCTAAAGACCAAGGTTTCATAATTAACAATAAGTCTCCAAATCATTATTTTGAGAGCTGGCAGACCAAGAAAAGTCTGATTACATGTCCCTCAAGCCTATCTTCCCTCCCCCTCACCACCTGATCCATTGCAGTACAATAGTACTGATGATTAGGTCTTGTTTACAATTTCCCAAGTACAGTACATCTGCTTAAAATAAATTAGACACTGTGCATGATGAATAACTGTGGTGGTATTGTGTTCCCCAAAATATTGTGTACCTTAATAAACTTACCTGGGGTCAGAGAACAGACAAGCCACTAGTTAGGCAGTGATAGCACACGCCTTTAATCCTAGCATTCCAGAGACAGAAATCCCTCTGGATCTCTGTGAGTTCAAGGCCACATTGGAAATAGCCAGGCATGGTGACTCACGCCTTTAATCCCAGAAAGCCAGCCTTTAATCCCAGGGAGTGGTGGTAGAAAGCAGAAAGATATATAAGGCGTGAGGACCAGAAACTAGAAGATTTTGGCTGGTTAAGCATTCAGGCTTTTGAGCAGTAATTCAGCTGAGACCCATTCCGGATGAGGACTCAGAGGCCTCCAGTCTGAGGAGACAAGACCAGCTAAGGAATTGGCAAGGTGAGATAGCTGTGGCTTGTTCTGTCTCTCTGATCTACCAGCATTGACCCCAATAACTCGCCTCGGGTTTGATTTTATTAATAAGAACTTTTAAGATTCCTGCTACAAATAACCACTCTAATGTGGTTTTTATTCATCTTTTTACATTTTATAACTTCTTTTAATATTCAACTATTTACTTTCTTTCAAATCTCTATGATTCAGGTATTTACCAATGAGTTGATTATTCTCTGAGGAAATAACAACTCTTAATTTTAATTAGAAATTATATTTGTAGATCTGATAGAAAAATTATTTCTGAACTGAAATTAGAGCTATTATATACTAGTTGGTATTATTTCTATAGAAAGAATTCCAAAGCTACAAATTTAGAAATTTTATTTCATATAAATTAGAGTATGAATTCTAAACTAATGCCAAGGATATAAAATGTCTGCCTTTTTCACTTTAATGAATCTATCATGCATTAATTTTAGTCATGAATCATGAATACTGCAACAAACCAACAATGCCTTTTGGGTGCTGAGAGCTCATTCTCTGCTGTGTTATTATTAGAAGGCATATACCATTTGAAATTTTTATCATGCAATAAACAAATTTTCAGTATACCTTTCATTGGCCTGACAATATCTCCAGATTAGCCTTGCTGTGTGAGGAGTCCTCTTGGAAATTTTTTTCTGGAGGAGAATCAGCATCTCTGTAGATTATGTTGTCAGATAAAACTGTGTCAAGAGTGGTATGAATTCTTCTGTTTAATGTAATTTATTTGCCATAGACAACATCACTGAGGAAGATTCCCTCAGAGATTTTACCACAAATCCTGACTCTGAGTGTCCAGCAGAACCCACTGGAACAATGTCGGAGATGGAACAAACCAGGACTAGGAGAGAAAGACCAGTCAGGTAAGAACTTTATAAAGCACATGGCATGGATTGGAGATGTTCAGACAGCAGGGAAAGAGTGGGTTTCTATTTCCCTCTTCAGTTAAGCCAAAGGTTAAGTGAACCACATCAGAATCTTAGCCAGGAACCTGGATAAGAAATGAACAATTCACTCCATCCAGCAGTTCATTTTGCCTTATTGACCATCCATGATTACTAGCCAATGTCCAGGCAGGCGTTTGACTGTATCCCAACCCCCCACACAAACACTGCAGTCACATGTGTGAGCCATCTTATCATCATGGAAACAGCCCACATATTTACTAGACATGTAGGTTTTAAAAATAATTTTCCAAGTGCATGAAAAAAATCACTATGTTTATTCTGTGAACATTTAAATATTCCAGAAGACGGATTATGATTTTCCTTGCTAGAGAAAGAACAACATGATAACCAAAGACAATTACAGAAACAGGCAATCTGTCTGCCACTGAAGGAATAGTTTTATGAATACTACCCATAAAATGACTTGAAATATTTCTCAAAGAGGTACCAATTTAAATGTGAATCTTTGAATTCACAGAGATGGGGGGGGACAAGCTAGGGGTGCCTTCTTTTAGCTGCTTGGCATGGTGTCATGTGCCCGCTGAGTCAATTTGAATTGCTTAGCTACAGTTACGGTAATTGCAATGGGTTTATGAAACAATAAAAACATAAGCTCATTTTGTAACAGGCAAGAAGAATTGTCATTTAAAAGGCAGTTGAAATAATCTATTCTTCCCACCCACCTCATCCCACTCTGCACTGCTTTTCTTCTGTCTTCATTGCCCGTGGACTTTGTTAAACCATCTACTGTTTGTGGAAATCTTTATGATTATCTGGGATCCAGGGTACTGTTGAATGAACAGTACATGTTAGAGAATACATTGTCAGTGAGCACAAGCTTGGCTGTACATGAAGATAAACACAAGCTCTCCTTCTCTCATACACAAAACAATATTTGACAAAAATAAAATCTAAAATATTTCTTCAGAGAAAAGATGCTAAATTCTGAGTTAAGGGTTAGATTTTACAACATAATACACACATATTTATATTAGTTATATAATTGTTGATGTTTACAGGAGGCTTTTCATTGCTATTAGTGGGTCCCTATTATCTTCACCCTGCAGAAAAGCAACCAGGGCACAGAAAGGTTAATTATTTTCTTATGGTAACAGGGTCAGCTCAGATAAAATTACATTGCAGAAGACTGAATTCCTGAGTGGTCCTTTCTCTTCCTTCCCACCAACACACTCTTCTTTAATCAGCAGCTTAACCTCTGAAATAACTTTCCTTTTTAGCATTTATTTTAACATAGTTAAGCTTTTGCAATAAACTGTGGTAACAGCTTCTCAAAGGGCTAAAGTGGAATCCATGCTGTTTCCTCTGCATGTACAACTCTCTCCTGCTCGTTTAGCCCTAACAAACCCTTTCCCATTCCTCGGGTACCATCACATCCTTGCTTCTTTGGAAGGCTTTCCCTGACCTTCCAAAAGGTTGTACTCACCTCTATAAGAACTCTTCCATGGTGTATAGCTCTGCAGCTATTCATGTGATTATCTGACGTCATGAGGCTCCTCCTCCTCTTCCCCAGTGTATGCTTCATGAAACTAGGAATGATATCCCCAATACCCAGCTCAATGGTTGCCATAAATTAAACAGTCAACAAATATTGATCAAATAAATCAGTGAATGAACCCAAGTATACTGGACTTCTTTCTCCAGAACTCCTCAGTTTTCACAGTTGTATAGCTCATCACTAGGAGAGGATTAAGTATAAACACCCAACAGTCCCTACTCATTTTCAGCATCCATGGGAACAGTGGACATGGCCAGCAACTTATGAAGCTCTGGAGGAAGCACTGTGGCCTCACTGGGCTCAGTGTGCTTTACTCTTCCCTGGACTCTTATTGACCATAACTACTCTGGGCTGAGAAGACAGTCTAACTCTAGTTAACTTTCTGCTGTCTTCCTGACATCTCTCTCCACAGTGTAGGCAATGCATTTGGGAATTCTTGACACCCAAGCTAGCAAAATGCTTTTGCTCTCTTGCAGGTGGGGGACAGTTCATAATATCTTTTCTCAAAATTAAGAAAGACTAAAGCATGCACTAAAGGGCACACTGGAATCTATGGTGACATGTTGGATTAAAGCTAAAGGAAATGGTGTGATGCCATGTGGGAATCACAGAAGTTCTCTGTGGTGACCTCATGTGAACCAGTGCTACCTAGCTAGAATCCTACAGAGCAGAGTTTTGCATATGGCATCAAAAATAACTTTTGAAGGTAAATGTTATTGCCCAATATTCCCATTGAATCCAAATTCTTTTGTAACTTGCAGTGAATAAAAAGCAATATCTTTAACTTTGAGCAATATCAAGCTTAAAATTTTCTCCATACTTGAAAAAATTAAGGGTTTAGTTGATTACAGCTATGTGAATAACTAGTCCTTGTCTCAATTTTTAATTTTGGAAAAAAATTAAATAGTATTATTAATAGTATTTGGAAAAAAATTAATAGTATTATTAATAAAAATTTAAATGTAAGATTCTTATTTGAAGTACACTTACTTTATTGTCTAGCCTAAACTTTGGGCCAAAAAGAGATTATTGGGTCTGGAATAGTTAACAGGTATTTGGGGATATAGTATGATGGAGATTTGCAATTTCCTGTAAAAATTGCAATGTGATATTACTGGTTGCATATTGATTCCTGTGGTGCTCAGAAGATGGGCAGAGGAGAATATCCTGATAAACTTGGGCATAGACACTGCCACCCACATCAGTCACAGTTCTCCAGAACGGAACCAATAACATGTACACATAGATGGAAAAAATTATTAAGAATTGTCTCATGAGATAATAGAGGCTGAAAAGGCCTAGTCTTTATAGTCAGCAACCAGATACCCAGGAAATCCAACTATAAAGCTCTAGACCAAGGGAGAACCAGAGAAGTTCTGCTCCAAACGCAGCAAGCACAAGACTCAAAGAAGTTAGTTTTCAGTTTCCTGTGTGAAGACAGGAAAAGACAAATATTCAAGCTAAAAAAGTTAGGCTCTGGAGACCTTCTGCTGGCTCTGTGACCCACTGGCATTGGGCAAGGAAATCTGCTTTGCTTGCTTTTATAATACACTTGTACTTTTCATCTAAAACACACCAGTAATGTTTTTCCGTGTATCAAGGTACCAGGGCCCTGTCATGTTGATATATGATGTGAATTATCTCACCATCTCTATCCTGTTATACACATAAAAGAACTGAAGCTATGCAGATGCTGGGTTTTATGGTTCTAACATAAGTATCTCCTCACCACTTCACATTCTTCTTTTCTTGCTAAACTAATGCTTACTCAAAAACTCTTAAACATAAATTTGCATCCATTTGAGCACTGAAACTAATGATCTTCATTCTGTCATAGAGTGAACTGCAAAGTTAATAATTCAAAAAATTAAGCACTCAGTTAACAAAATAATCCCTTGTGCCTTGGCCTCAAATATTGTTTTGTAAGAATAAAAAATGTGAATGTGAATTTAAGCACAATGTCTACTTTGTTATTTATTTAAGCACAAAAAGAAGTGAAAACGTTTATTATATAGATTTCAATTTCATAAAGCAGGAACATTTCTGTGACACTTTTAACTTGCCCTACATATGACTCTAAAGGTAGCCTAAAACTATTTTCCCATCGAGAGTAATAACACTTATCTCAAATATGTGTCAGCCAAGGGAGAGATTTTTTTAAAGATATCTTGGTACTGCATGTCCAGATTTCTGATTGGAATCCATTTATATTAAAGTGACTTTCAGATCTCTTTCCTTTTTTTAAAATCTTTTCACAATATTTTCTGAATTGTCCATCTGAGAAAAGAAATTCTCTGTAAATCTTCCTTCAAATAAAAATCAACCAATTTGTTATCTTGTCAGAGAAGCATTTAGCTTCTGAAAGACACAGGGTTCGCCCTAGGAAGACCCACTGATGCCCTTTGTCCATTAGCAAGAGGGGGGAAGGGTCTGTTTCTAGCATTCTATCTCAGAACATTCTTATTTTTTAATATAAAAAAGATACAGTTTGATGGACACTAATGAATACCAAGCAAAAGATGTGTTTGCCTGGAAATGTCAAATAGCTACATCTGAAAGAGGAGAGAGAGCTGAGTGGCTGATGGGCTGAGTGGTTAAATGACAAACAAGTGAGTGAGTAAAAGGTTCAGTGCCTGAGACAGGGTGGGGCACTGCAAGAGTGACTTCCACAGTAGAGGATACAGCTCTCCCTGCTGCCCAGGATGCTGAGACGGAAGGTTATTTCTATGAATAGCCTGCTCAGTTCATAATAGCAATCAGTCTCTATTTGGGTGGCTCTAAACTAGGCAATCATTTCACAGCAGGAACAATGAGAGGAGAGGAGAATTCAAAATCTCATCAGCACTCATAAACACGGATGTTTATTGTTCTGTAACTAGCAAAAGCAAGAATCACTGCAGGAAAGATGCATTAAGACCCATATGTGACTTTATAGTTGAAATAGGAAAGGAATGTCAGCTATCAAGTTTACAAAAAAAAATTGACATTTTTACTTCAATGACTTGTAAGCCTGTGATTTTTTTAATTAAATGAATAAACATAGGGAAAACAGCCATGCATTTGCTTGTCTTGTGTGAAGTACTGAGAAAATGATGTGCTATCAGTTGCAGTCCTAAGTTAAAACTATCCCCCAAAACACAAAGTGAAAATAGAACTTTCATTTGTTCTAGCTCTAAGTTAGGAGGGGTACTCTGAGGGAAAAGGGAGGAAAAGAGACAAGATGGAACTAGACAAAATGAGAAAGGGAAAAAAGGAAAGATGGGCACGGAGGGTCAAGAAAATGACAAGGGGAAAAAATCACTTCTCTAGGGAGTGTAAGCTATGAGTCAGTTTTCAAACAGGCCTACAATAAAAATTCCTGATATCTCTAGCTTACAAAATTTCTAGTCCAATTAAAAAC